TTGCATCCACTCCTGCAGATGAACGTCAATCACGAGGCCCTCAAACTCCAGCTGAATCCAGAGTAGCCGCATCTGTAAGACCTCTTGGATCTGTCCCAATCTTGAAAAGCTCTTGCAAACCATGCTCCGCATCAATCCACATGACCGTCTGCCCAGCTGATGTCATGCACACATGAACTGCTAAACCCTAAATCCTTTTGAACCCCCGTGGTGTAGACCCAAAAACCTAAACTTGAAACCCTTAACCCTCCTGTCCCCGTCGCTGTGCCTCCGCAGTCTCCTCCACATAGACCGGCGCGCGCTTATCACCCAGTTGTGCCGGCAACGGCCTTCCATGTGCAGCCGGTTTATGGCTTGCGGTTTAGGGTTGAACTAAGCCATATCATCCTCAACCCTTGTTTTGCACCCAAACCTTGAAATATAAAAACCCAAACCCCTGGCAGACCATCTTCCTTCAGGATTCTTGGTAGCCCAGTGGCCATGTTCAAAAACGGGTAGCCTGTTTTTGGAGTTGGTTACTTTCAAAGGGAACCTTGAACCACAAACCCTAAACCCCAAACCGACCCTAAACCGTTCTGCAACGAGCTTGGCGCTAAACCCTAAACCCCAAATCCTAGGCCTACCCGGCATTTTGTTGGGCTTGAGGCCCTTTGGGGTTTTGGGGAAGGGCGGAATGTTACCCCTGATACGAACAGTCCTGAAAAAGGATTCTAGTAGGGAGGGGGGGTGGGGGGGTACTAAACCCTAGACCCTAAACCCTAAACCGATAATCCCTATCCTAAACCTATCCTAAACCTATAATCCCTGTCAAGGACTGTTAGTATAAGGGGGAGCATCCCCCAAGTTTGGGGTTTCGTCGGGCCTACAGTCTCCTGTTTACAGTTTCACCAAGGCGGCGGCTCGTGGAACGGCGACCCTTTGCAGGTCCTTGGCAGGCTGTAAGTCTTCGTAGATCTATGGCTTAGGGTTTAGGGTTACTCAAGCCCCAAGCATTGAAGTGCAAGACCCCCAGCCCCCAAACAAAGGGGGAATATTACCCTCGGACTACTGTGTGGAGTAGACTTCAACCCAGAAGTTTGGGGTATTTGTCGACAGATTCAGCGATCTTGCATGGCCCGGCACTCCTACACCTCGGTATTACCTGCTTCTCGACCCGACTCGATCCACCCATGGTCGAGTCTAGCAGTCACTACCCTACCTCCTTACTTAGCAGGTATAGCTTATAAAGGCCGGTGGCATCTTCATCTGTCACCTTTGTACCTTAATATAGCCGCTAGATACCCCAATAAGAACCCCGACTATATGCTCTACAAACAGAAACCCTACTTAAAGAGCAACCCCCAAGAAAGTACAGCCCGACGACCTGTAGGTAGCTAAAAGCAGTCCCAGGTCGTCCCAGAGGCTTTGAGGTAAAACCTAAACCCTGAACCCTAAACCCTAAACCCTGAACCCTGAACCCTAAACCCTAAACCCTAAACCCTAAACCCTAAACCCTAAACCCTAAACCCTAAACCCTAAACCCTAAACCCTAAACCCTAAACCCTTACAGCAGGCCTCGGTTCACAGCAGCCCGGTGCCAGCATCACACTCACTACTGCAGACCCTAAACCCTGAACCCTAAACCCTGCAGTGGCAGGTACCTTGCCCAGCCCAGCCCGGGGGGAGTCCATACTCGTGTTTTTCGCTTAGGACTTACTGTCAGTAAGCCATATATATATATATATGTATATATATATATATACACACATGATGTGATGTATACATGTAAATGAACAAATAAATAAATAGACAAAATAAACAAATAAATATGTGTGTAAATTTAATACATGCTTGATTTGTAAAGGCGCTCTACATATCGCCCGGTTTGGGGCCCCTGTGCTAACGGCAGCCCCCTGGCATATTGGGCCATCAACGAAGTACCAATCCCAACATACGATAATCCTTCGAGAGGACACCCCCCCCCCCCCCCCCCCCTGAAAAAAAACAATAATAAGAAGAAAGAAATAAGGGTACCCGGGCCCCCCGGCTTCAGGAACGGTGGCACCTCGAAGAAAGCTGCGCCTGTGCCATCTGGAGGGAGTGCGGGAGGATGAGGGAGTGCCCTTAACCCTAAACCCTAAACCCTAGTTTAGGCCTCGTTTAGGGTCCCTCAGACCAGCCACACTGCCAGCTGCCTTTTTCTCCATCTGATCTGGCACGACTGGAATCTTTCAGGGCACTGAGAACGCCCCTGAAACTCAGGGGCTTGGGATCAGCCGCCTAATCAGTTTCCAACTGCAAGCTTTAGAAGACTCCGAGTATTTCAGACGCTGCGGGACGCTCCCAATCACCATACACGATACGAAAGCCCTAAAACCTTAAGCCGTAACCGGCCTTTTGTGACCCGCAGCGCCCAACACCGAGTGAGGAGGTGGAGAGGGGAGGAGTTGAGGGGGGTTTAGGACGTGTTTGGGGTTAAGGGTTTGGGGTTAGGGCTGAAGGATTGCCACTTCTTCGTAGGAATTCATGTGCTAGGCTCCTAGGTTTCAAAAGTTCGAGCTCCCCCGCCCTCCACCAGTGAAATGACATCATCTTCTTGAACGCCGGTTTGTCGCTGCAAAGACTTGAACCCAGGTCAAAGGTCAGGATATGATGACACACTTGATGTGTAGATCATACGTGTTATGCATCAACCCTTTTGCTCCAGTGTTCTGCCTAACCCAAAACCCGAAAGCCTAGACACAAAGCACAAGTTTCAGAACCCTAAACCCTGAACCCTGAACCCTAAACCCTAAACCCTAAACCCTGAACCCTAAATCCTGCAAACCGTATAGGTCGTCGAAGGCTTTGGGCATGGAGACATCCATGGAGACATCCAGGTTCCCTGTCGAGCAGGAACGTTCGTCCCTAGAAGCATGGTCGTGGTAGCCCGGTAGCCCAGCAAAGTATCACAATCCTGGTGCCCGTTTTGGAGGTTGGTTATTCAGTATAAAGGGGCCTTGAACCCCGAAACAAAGGGGCAGATAAGTACGCCTAGGCTACCAAGGACGACATGATTTCATGGCCTGGCGCAGGCGCCGAGCGCGATTTGCACCCCGAGTGACCACTCTTGGGGGCCTGTAAAGTTTCTGTGCGCTCCCCATACTGAAATGACGTGTCTCTCTCTCTCTCTCTCTCTCGCGCTCTCTCTCACTCTCTCTCTCTCTGGTACAATGCAAAGGCGCGAACTCGGGCCGCGGGCGGTTTTCACGTCAGAGGTTAGGGTGTGATGTCGCAGCTATCCTCACTGAAGGTTGGGACATGGGAAACCCCCGGCTTCCCGGCATTCGTGTCTGCAAGGCAGGATTTAAGGCCCGCCTGTCGCAGGGCTGTCTGAAGCCAAAAATCTCTCTGCAACTTCCGGCAGAATGATGCAGAATGTCGCAAGGGATATGGAGGTAAGGGTATTACCCACCATGCTAAACACTCCCAACAAGTGTTGAGGGTTTACTTTTCTCAGAATTTCTGGCCTCGTAGGCTCCTGCAGATTGGGGATGCGCAGTCACGGCACACACTTCGTGGCTTCGAGGTGGATGGCTTATCTTAGAAGTAAGAAAAACTCGTCAAGTGGCTTAAAGTCCTCCCTTGTTGCAAGAACCCCCAATAAACCCTAAACCCGAAACCCTATAAAGACCTAGCCTTGAACCCTACAGAGCACAGTTCACACCTCCGGGATGAGATCATTCCTATCCACAAGGCGGGATTTAGGGTTTAGGGTACCCTAAAGCCAAAAGCATCAACTTTAAATAGCATCACCCTAAACCCTAAACCCTAAACCCTAAACGCTAAACCCTAAACCCTAAAGAACTTCCCAAGTGTGCTGGGACGAAGCACGGGGTGGTGTAGGGGTCTAGAGTCCATGCGTGGGGAAGGCCCAGGCAGTGTGGAGACTTGCCATGTGCAGCCTAACTACGGTTTAGGGTTTAGGGTTTAGGGTTTCGGGTTTAGGGTTAGGGTTGAAAGTTTAGGGTGTTTGGTGCTTAGGGTTTTTGGGCTTTGGGGTGTGAACCCTAAACAACCCTCAGAGACGTGACTGTTTGTGAGACCAGCCTGCAAAACACAGGCCCAGTCAGTTTCCATCAACGGGCAGTGCAAGCAGAGAGGGATGCACAGGAGTTTAGGGTCCCCACGTCGGCCCAAAACTTGGTAGCACACCAACCATCTTAAAATAAGGGTTTAGGGTTTAGGGTTTAGGCTTTAGGTTACTTTACTACCAGAACCAAAACCATGGCAAAAGGGGTACCGCTGGGCTACCAAGTATACCTCTTCTCTGGTTGAGCACTGCGGAGGCTGTTTCAAGGGATGTTACGGCTTGTCAACCCTAAACCCCAAACCCTAAACCCTAAACCCTAAACCCTAAACCCTAAACCCTAAACCCTAAATCCTAAACCCTAAACCCTGAACCCTAAACCCTAAACCCTAGGCTTGTTGATGCTTATTGCATGGCCGAGCCCTGCGCCGGTCGCCGCAGCCAGCAAAAGAGTCGGAGGGATACCCGAGACATGCTCTTCTGAGGCCTCTACGGGGCTCCCCTATAGTTATAAGTAGAGTTACCTATAGGACCCGTGGCTTCTAAGGAGCTTACAAGGAGGGCCCCCCTAGTTATAAGTAGAGGTTTAAGAGCCCTGGATCCTCAATTAGGTTATAAGTCCCTTAACTAGAGATTTAGTATAGTAAGGGGGCCCCTCCTTGTATGGGAGGTTTACCACATTAGGCATATTAGGGGTACCTTCTTCGGGGTCCTGCTTACAAGCGGATCCTACTATTTGGGGGGCTATATTTTAGCTCCCATATGCCAAACGCTAGGAGTTTCTGTCGGCGCTTGCAAACCTCCGCACCTTATAACCCCTAAACCCTAAAACCTCTAAGCCTTGAGGGGCCTCACAAGAACAGGGCCTCGTGCGACCTCTGCCGTGGCCGCGCGTGCCTAATACGATCCAGGCTGCCTGCCAGAAGGTTTCGAGCATACACCGAATCAGACGCTATCTGCTGCAGCTCATCCTGCATTGTTTCGGGTCTTCCGTTGCACCGACTGTAAGAAGACGTCGAACCTTGTCACGCGTCTGCTTGCGAGGGCGGTGTGGTAATCGCCTCTCACAATCATCATGGCGGTGGCAATACTGGCAAGCCTTGCCTCGAGGACAGCCGCAACGCGAAAGAAAGAAGGCACAAGGCCAGCAAGTCCCTTCAGCGTGTGGATCAGGCTGCTCAGGCGCACGGGTGGCATGAGTGCTGGCAATGGCCTCGCCATCGGATGGCGTCCATTTGCTTGGGTCGGAGACCTCCGCGGAAGCCTTCCGACTGGACGTGTCGCTACTCTCGCTGCTGCGGATGCCATGCGGTCCTCCGATCAATCGCAGCAAAACCTCTCCTGTGGACGCCGAGCTGGGGGTACTGACGGCATCCGTCTCATCCGGAACATTGGAAGCATCACTCGTCATTAGCGTCTAATCACTGAGCCTAAATGCACTCATCGGGTTTAGGATTTCGGGCCGCTGAACCTACGATTTGCTTAAGAACCCCCCAAAAAACAAAAAACAACAATCCCTACATTACCCTTGAGAAGGAAGGATATTTGTTTTATTTTTTTTCGGGGTTCTTAATGGTTCTTAAGCAATTAGTAGGAACGGTCATGTGGCCAAAAGCACGCATTCTACGCCCTCTCTGCTGGGTCTTGCTAGAGACAAGCCTTTTTTGGCATGGGCCACCCAAAAAAACCCGCAGCTCAGGTCAACTCTTCACTTGAACCCTGATTCCTTTCCTGGACCCTCTCTGGGCCCCTGGCGGTACGTCTCTTGCAGAAAGCGGCGTTCCGGCTCGCTGCCGATGGATCCGCTCAGGCCTCGTGAGTGCTCTGCTTGGCGGCTGTTCTCGTTCCGAGCTCCCATATAGGTGCTAGTGGGGGGAGGGGGAGTGCTGTCCAAGAGGAACGAGTAAGACCTAGACCCTTCCGAAAAGCTTGCACAACAACGCGTAGTGCTGTCGTTTGCAAGCAGCGAGGCACAAACAAGCAGCCTGTGCCCCTGGCCCAGTATTCGGTGGTAGCGCCGGAAGACGCGGGGTCGCGACCTCATCCGAGAAGCACGCCAGCGCAGGCTACACCCTCAGTGAAGAAAGATGTTCCTTCTACTTTACGAGATGCGTCAACTGACTTGCAGACAATCAACCCCACGCATCAGATGAGGGGGTCGAAATTTGGGGTCCCTTTTTGGGTCCTTTTTTTCAGGGGATCCTATTATCAGGGGATCTATATGGGGGGGGGGGGGGGGGGGGGTCCCCTATCTTCGTAAACCCCCCCCCAAATTTGTCAAAGACCTGCATACACTCGGGGTCCCGGTCATGACGAACAAGCGCTCCTGGTAAAAGATCTCTTTACCTTGGGCGGCAGGTCTTTAGGGTTTAGGGTTTAGGGTTTAGGTTTAGGGTTTAGGGTTTAGGTGGGGGGGTTTGCAGGTGTGAGACCCATATAAGCCGCTAGGCTGGAAACCCTGTGCACCTTAAGACTCAGCATAGCCCAAACCTCTATAATAAACCCTAAACCCTAAACCCTAAACCCTAAACCCTAAACCCTAAACCCTAAACCCTAAAGAACAGTCTAGGAAGCAGATGCGCCGTGCCGGGCAAGTCTTGGCTTGATGCATATGGTGGCCATGTCCCTACAACCCTCAAACCACCGCGCGAAGCGAATTCTGTCTGATTCCATAATCCTTTCGCGAAGGGCAAACACATACGTTGCACAGCGCAAGGTTTAGGGTTTAGGGTTTAGGGTTTGGGGGGGGGTTTAGGGTTTAGGGTTTAGGGGTTTAGGGGTTTAGGGGTTTAGGGGTTTAGGGGTTTAGGGGTTTAGGGGTTTAGGGGTTTAGGGGTTTAGGGTTGCGAGATTGCTTTGGAACAGGTGGCATGAAAGCAAAAGGCGCCCACGAAATGGCCAACCCCCCCCAAGCTCAAGCCCTACACCCCCAAGCCCGACTCCGAACCCTAATTACCCCTAAACCCTAAACCCGAATTACCCCTAAACCCTAAACCCTAAACCCTAAACCCTAAATCGAAGCCCGGGGGGCTCAAGCCGTCCTGGAAGTTTCGGCACTCCAGGGCCAGGGACCAGGCCTGGGCGTCTGTGTGTCGAAAGTTTGTTGCCCTAAACCCTAAACCCTAAACCCTAAACCCTAAACCCCAAACCGCCAGAGACTGCAAAATACCCCCTGGCTCTTAGTAGGCCATGAGGGAATGTGGGCCCTACATATACCCTTCAAGGGATTAGGGTGGGCCCTAATTCCTTCCCTCATTCCCTTCCAAAAACCAGCCAGAGTACTTAGAGGACTGTTTCGTAAAGGACTTTGGGACCACTTGAACCCGAAAATTGGGGCCAAATACCCTATACTACCATGTTCCCTATAAGAAGGCACATGAACCTCAAACCCTGTTAAGGTTCACTTGGTCCCCACTTGGAGGTTAATGGGTAGTTATAAGCGGGTTACAAGGAGGGTAATTATAACAACTGGTTTGCATCCTTATCTAGGGTGCTTATAGCCCTTCTTATAACCGCAAGTACCCTACCTACTACAGCAAACAGGAAACCCCAGAACGCTCTACAACCCCCCCCTAAAGACTTGACATAAACCCTAAGATGTAAACCCTAAACCCTAAACCCAAAACCCTAAACCCTTATAAACCCTAAACCCTAAACCCTAACCCTAAACCCTAAACCCTACAGTAAACGGTCGACGCAACCCTCTGCCTTGGGGTTGGCCCGGCCAGCGTGGAGGGCGCAGTATCTGCCGCTTTCCTTGGAGTAGACGTAGTCCTGCCCATGCGCCCATGTACTACTTTTCCTTTGTTTTTGCTACTCCTAAACCCTAAACCCTAAACCCAAAACCCCAAACCCTAAACCCTAAACCCTCTCTCTCTCTCTCACGTAGTTACTCAGGAAACCTGTCAGACGTGCTCCCAGGGGCTGGGCAAAGTGCATCACCACCTGACCCAGCTTCTTAGCGCGACTTAATGCGCAGGTCTCCCACACCCTTTTTTTGCAACTGGGACTTGGTGACTGCAAACCCTAAACCCCAAACCCTAAAACTCTAAAGCAGTAGAATGTCCACGTATGTCCTATGGAGGAATATACCTCTGCAGGTTCAAGGTATAGGGGTTTAGGCCTACCGAAAGCCCAATCGGGTCATGTTGGCGTCAGGCCTCTTGGGAGCACGCAGACACACACACACACACTCAGAAAAAACACCCTCTCCTGAGGGGATGGGCCTCGAATCAACGTGCACAAATCCTGTCTCAGCAACGTTGCTAATGGTACTTGGGGGGGTTCAGTACTAGGGAGGACTGCGCGGATTTCCCATTGCGTGGATTACCCATCAGCCCATTCTCAACCTCAGATGACTCACAAACAGGCTCCTCGCCAGATATGAACTTTCGACCTCGCTCCCACTCCTGGCAAGGCTGCCAAAATCGATCTGCACCCTGTAGGTCCGTCGCCTGAATCCCTGAAAACGACTAACCCCGCATCTTAGACCCATTTTCAAAAATGGGTTCATCTCGTGGAATGGTGGCAAGCATGTTTTGAGATGCTTTGCAATCCCCTAAATGACTGCTTCAACCCATGTCGCCTACGCGCTCCGAATTTTGCATTGGCACAGGCACTGGCAAACGCCCCAACTTCACCAGCATAGAGGAAGCTCTAAAATCACGGTGAACTCTGCATAGTAAGGGCCCAAACCCCTGTTCCTTTACTCAAGGTTGCACAGCCCACAGTGATAAAAGAGGGGTGTACGTTTGGCGAGAAGGCGCCCGGCATGCTGAATGAGTGAAACTTTGATCTGCCCCTGGGCTTCTCTGTCAGCCTGTTGTTGAGCGCACTACGCCATGTCAGCTAATCAACCAGAACCAACCCAAGCAGCGTCAACAGAAGCAGTATCCGCTGGACTCTTGTTGAGAGATGTTTGGACTTATCTTCGGAAACAAGGCCTTGTCCACAGAGCAAGCTCGCTTTTTTGCCAGATCTTTATGATCCATGTGCAGCATCGTGGCGGCGCTGGACAGTCTTTGACTGCAGCCACTGTTTCCACAGGAAGCCACGGAGCTTCCAAAATTCGTCCGGAAGCTGGTGCAGTTGGTCTTCCAAGGCCTCCGGAACCCTAAACAACTCTAAGCCCTAAGCCGAAAACAACATCTCCGCACATCTCACACCACCTTGCCGACGTCCTCCTTGTCCTTCGAGGTCTCAAGTGCCTCCTCAGTCTTGGGCGCGAGGATTGGCTGCTTCTCCTGCTTGGAGGGTGCTTCCAACATGGCGGCCAGGGACTTGTAGAAGAGGGCGGAGAAGATGAGCGCCAGACCCAGGATTTGCAACTGTGTCACTGGGTTGTGGTACTTCAGGTACGAGATCAGGATAGACACAACCTGGCGGACGTTCATGGTGGCCGCAAAGACGAGAGCCCCGAACTCCTTGATTTGGGAGTAGATGAAGAACTGGCTGGCGACGGCAGAGCCACTGAGCAGCGCGGAATCAAGCCAGAACCTATACTGAACTTGAAACCCTGGCAAAAAAATGGCAGTTTCTTAGGAATTACAGAACCAAAAAACTATATAAACAAAAAGCTTCCCAAGAATCTTTCAGGAACTGGGGATGGGCAAAGCCGAAGGCCACGGCCGGTGCCAACTCACCGGTCGCAAGCAAGGTGATCCTATACTGCACTTGAAAGTTACAGGAATTTTAGCTGTTTCCTTAGGGATGATACGAACCAACATATTCATGAAATTAGAATTTTAGCCGTTTCCTTTAAAAAAATACAGGAGCCAACATGTTAAAAACACTTCCAAGGACCCCTAAGGAGCAGGGAGACGGTGGCAGAGAGAAGGTTGATGTACAGCATCTGATTGTACTTGGTCGTCTTGTGCTCCTTAAAGAGCTTCTCTTGGAAGGTGGAGGTTAGCCCGTCCAGCGCCAGAAAGCAGCCCAGCAGCAAGAAGCCCTTCTACCAGTTGCTTAAGGACTTAAGGACCCCCAAAGAATTAAACACAATCTTCCTTACAAGGGTAATATAGGGATTCTTTATTTCTTTTCATTTTTTGGAGGTTCTTAAGCAGATAGTAGCCTTGAAGCTGTTGCCAGCGTCCACCTTGGAGTGGGTAGGGCCTGTCATCAAGAATTCCGTGCAGCCCAAAGTGACGGTGAGGGCCACGAGCCAATCGCTGCCACTGTAGGCTTTGCCGGCAATCCTTGGCGGCCCAGTAAACAGACTATAATGAGGGCACCCTTTTTTGGGTTATTTTATAAGGGAAACCCGAACCCCAAAAAGGGTAAACATACTATAACAAGGGCACCCTTTTTGGGGGTTAGTAATTTTTCATAAGGGAAACCAGAACCCCCAAAAAGGAAAGGGCAAAGGGTACCACTGGGCTACCAAGAATCAGGATCCCCCAGATCATCACCGGCATCATCTTGAAGCTCTTCCCAAGCATCTGAACTGCAAAAGACCTTAGTTTAGGGTTTAGGGTTTAGGGTTTAGGGTTTAGGGTTTAGAGGTCTTAATACCTGAGTCGCTGAGTTCATCAGCCCCAAACAAGTGTACACTTTCGGTTCTTTAGGGGGAAGAGAGTACCCCAAAAAGTGCAAAGTGTGCTCATTCAGCTACTAGGAGACACGTACTTCAGGGCCTCGTATTGGCAGGAGCTGGCATAGACGTTGGAGAAGGAGACGATGAGGTACTTCCAGAGTGGAGCCGCGTTCGTCATGGACTCGCCCTTGCCTGCCGCCATGCACACCGCAAAGATCACAGCCGCCAGCCGATTGCAAAGGACCAGGAACACAGAGTACTGGAAGAGGCTGCCATCATAGGCCACTGTCATGATGCCCTCCTGAAGGATGCCATAAAGGACCAAGGTTGCGATGATCCCAGCACCATAGAAGACGCACCAGGCAGCAGGCGCGGAGGTCTGACCTTCGGTCATGGCTACGCTAAGCGGATGGTAAGAGAGATGGATGGTGTGACTATAGGCTCCCGAGCCGATCTGCGTTCAGATTGCAACACAATGACCGCGCCTGCGGAACCTTCACAGGGGCCATTAAGACTGGTGCCATGAGAAGGCCCTCAATCCTGTTTAAAGCTTAAACCAACAAAGAAGGACTAAACCCTAAACCCTAAACCCTAAACCCAAAACCCTAAACCCTGTGAGTCTTAAAGCCCTGCGAGGTCTAAAGTCCGATCGCAGTCCGCTCGGTTCAGTCCATGCTTCCTGGTGTCGAGACGCGAAGTATGGATACCGGCGTAGAGGCTGTTGGGTTAAGGGCCTTGGGGGCCGGGGGGGGGGGGGGGGGGGGGGGGGCATTTAGGTTTTAGGGCTTAGGGATTAGTTTAGGGTTTAGGGTTTAGGGTTTAGGGTTTAGGGTTTAGGGTTTAGGGTTTAGGGTTTAGGGCTGCAACAAACCCCAAACAAAAACTTCGAAGGGCCTTGCACACCTCGTGGAAGACACGGTTGGCCGCAGGGTGGCCCGACGAGCGGAGGTGGGCCAGCTGGTCCGGCCTAGGAAGCCCAACGCAAAACCCTACCTGAAGGTTTAGGGTTTAGGGTTTAGGGCTAGGGTTTAGGGTTTCGGGTTTAGGGCTTATAGGGTGTCGGGTTTAGAATCCCGAACCTGCTTTTTTTGTAGGTTACTCACTTTACTCACATGAAACAGATCAAGGGTGCTAATAACTTAGAACCTACAAGAGTTTGCTCTCAAGGTGTGTATATACATATATATATGTGTGTACTCAGATCAACTGTTGGAAGTCTAAAATGTCATGATTCGTGGAGATGATTGGGCAGTGGATGCTCATGCTGCCCCCTGGCTCCGAAGGACTAGGGGCGTAAGACCCTGTACCTTAGTTGTCCAGTAACCTCGGGAAATTGAAGGCTAACCTTTGGGATTATCAGGGGATTATACTACCCCAAAGAGGTGAATCAAAGATTACCTACTCCACTACTAGGGTACGGTGAGATGAACCCTGTGGAAATCCCCAATCTGAAGCCCCTGCTGCGAAGCAGCAAGTGCTGTGCAACACAAGGAAGACATGTGTCTCTCTTTTGAAGGCTACAGTGTGCCCAAGTGTGCAGACTGAGACTAGCTCCAACACGGATAAAACCCAAGATATGGTGACATGCTAAACTTGCGCAGAATCACCAAATTCAACCCAAAACCCTCTCTCTGTCTCTCTTGGCCGCACTAAGCGTCACTGATAGCGCTATTGCCCCTTCCGCGAGGAACCCAAAACCCAAAAAACGCAACTTTATTGTGCGCATGTGCTTTTTCCTCTTCTCGGGGCGAGCAGGCCAGGGCTGTCAGGATCTGATCGTACATGCGCTGAGTGAGATTGTCCTCGCTAACCTGGTTCGGGGTTTCGGTTTAGAGTTTAGGGTGGATGGTAGGTCTGCTGCTTCAACTCCCGAAGAATTGTAAGACTTTCTTGGAGTCGGGTTCAGTTTGCACTGGGAAAGCTTGCAGCCCGGACCAGGAAACCTTTCTATCATCACAGTACATCACAGTGCTTGCCTTCCACGATACCCTGAGCGCCACGAACAAAACTTGTGCTTGAGGGCTTCAGGTTGGGATGTTCCCCCTTGTACTAACAGTCCTTAATAGGGATTGTAGCACCCCTACTATCATCCCGATTAAGGACTGCTAGTTTAAACCCTAAACCCTAAACCCCCCTATTGAGGAGCTGTTAGTACAAGGGGTAACATCCCAAGCTTCAGGCTTTTTCCGGGGCATGGGGTCCTTGGAGGGGAGGGCAGGGTTTGGGGTTTGGAGTTTCGGGTTTCGGGTTTGGGGTTTGGGGTTTGGGGGTTTGGGGTTTGGGGTTTAGGGTTTAGGGTTTTGGGAGAAGGTACTTCTTGGAGGTTCATAGGTTACTTATAAGCCAATAAGCGGGATTGTAAACTATACTTATGACTGGTTATAACCTACTTATAGCTACCCATGAACCTTCAAGTAAGAGGTTGCAGCAGCTCTTTCGCCGATCACATGAGTACTTCTGGTTCTGGGGTTAGGCTTTCGGGGCCATGACTATGGAATGGAGAGAAAGCACTCCGTGGTCCGCGTCGAGGTATACATTTGTATATACCTATTTATGTGTGTGTAAACATGTAACAGGTTTCACCCTGAACCCCTCCCACCCTAAACCCAACAGTCTACACAATGACAAGCCCAAGCCCTAAACCCTAAACCCTAAACCCTAAACCCTAAACCCTAAACCCTAAACCCTAAACCCTAAACCCTGCCGCCTCAAATCCCACGGGCTTCGGAAAGCCCGAAGGCAGGGCTCCGAAGCTGCGCGTGCAAAGCCTCAGAGAGGCACCCCTGGCCCACTTCGATGGGCTCCGGGTGTAGGGTTAGGGTTTAGGGTTTAGGGTTTAGGGTTTAGGGTTTAGGGTTTAGGGTTTAGGGTTTCGGGTTTAGGGTGATTTATCTCAAGTTGAGAGCTTCTTAGGGACAGTCGCACGAGAAAAGTCCACCTCCAAGCACTCCATGTCAGGCTTACAGGCTCAAAGCCCTCCTTGATATCGGTTTAGGGTTTAGGGTTTAGGGTTTAGGGTAATTAGAGGAGACGCGAACACAACAATCATCGAGCATCCCTCGACGTCCAACCCTCACCAAGACCTGCTGAGCTAATCCTACCACCAGACCAACCCCAACAACACGCATATCGCACCCTATCGAACAAATCCATATGCTCTGCGTAACCCTAAACCCTAAACCCTATTGAAAATCTCTTTTCTACGCTCAACTGGGAATCTTGAGAGTTAGATGCATCGGCATATATACACTGTACACTATACAACTGCATGACCTAGATTAGGCGGTACAATTTTGCACCCCTTCTAGTGCGCAGAAATGCCTTCTAAGCACTATACTTTCTCTTCTGCTATGTGCGGAGTGAAACTTCTCTGGTATTGGGCTCATTCTCACGCCTAGGTAGCGGAGTCTGGCCAGGGACCTTTACAAGAGGAGTTCCTTGTGCCCGCGGCTCTTTTCAGAGCTCAGTTGAACACCGAGTGTCTTCAGATGCTTCCTCAGCGTTGGTCCTCCTACGCTCTTCGTGAGGATATCTGAACAGTTCTTCTCCCCAAGCACTTTATGGATCCTCAAGTGGTCTGCTGCCACGCGTTCTTGCAACCACAAGTACCTTGTTTGTACGTGGCGAGCTTTTCCCAGGCCTATCCGGCTCCCTTGGCCTTTGGCTGCGTTGGAGTCCGTCTCCAAGACAACCTCCAGCTCGCAGCTCCAATCTTCTAACAGGGACTGGATCCCAAGTCCAGTCGAACCTGCCTTCACTAAGGCGTAGTATTCTGACTCCCCTGTCGATAGGGCAATCGTCGACTGCACGTTTGACGAGTGCTTTATGGGATGCTGGCCATAGAACGCGATCATACCCGTGGTGCTCCGTCTCGTAACGGCGTCACCTGCATGGTCCGCATCTACTTGGATACGGAGCTTGGTTGGTTCTCGCTGTTGTTCATAAACCAACTTCGCATACGGGTACTGCTTGAGATAACGAGCCAACCGCTTCAGGTTGCCCCAGTCAGCGTCTGTCGGCATTACCATCTTTCTTGACAGTGTCTTGACCGCATGGCCTATGTCTGCACGATCTTGTGCCAAGTATGCTGCGCGCATCACCAAGGACCTATACTGCTTCACCATCTCTGGTGGAAGTGCAGCTGCCTTAGCTTCCAGCAATTGTTGATCCACAGACTTCTTAACATCCGCTGTCTCTACGCCCTTACCATTGTTCAGACCCAGCTCCTCGATGAGGAGTTCTGCATGCCGCGAGTCTGCTTCAATCACGGCGCAGGGTCTCCCACTGTGTTGCTCCAACCGTATCACCCGATTGAGGAAAGTGATCTGGTTGCTTCCTGCAACTCCGATTCCTACCTCTCCTGTGCGCTTCAGCTCGTAGGCTTCTCGGAGTGTCTTGTCTAGTGCTTCCTGCGCTGCTTCGTCACCCAAGCACAGAAAGTCGTCTCCGTGTACTAAGACACGGGCATCCAGCACTGGGTGATAGAAGACTGCACCATTGCTTCTTCCTCTCCTCCATCCTGCTTGAATCAGAGTTTGAGTGTAGTGGTCCTGCCATATCGCTGGCGCGTCTTGCGTTCCGTACATTGACTTCAATAGCAGTCCACACTCTCCTTCTCCTGCTCCCTCTTCCTCTGGGAGCTTCACATAAATGTTTCTCTTTGGAGTCCCATAGAAATGGGCTCTTGAGATGTCCCAGCTCCCAAGTCGTAACGGCCTCCCGTGCTTCGAGCGTTGTTTGCTCATAAGCATGGACGTAAGAATGCGCACCGCTTCTAGCGGGGGCATAGCCGAAAACAACATCGCTGGGTCTAGCTGGTCCTCGGGGCCCTTCCTGGCCTTGATGTCTTTCACGACCAGTCTGGACCTCAAGTTGGGGTTCGTGTGATCCCCTTTGTTCGTGTCTACCCACTTCAGTGGGATTGGTTGCTTGCCTGTTTCTTGAATGCACTGGTCCAGAGGTACCCTCTTCCACACACCTTGCTTGTGGATGTACTCCATCTCCAGCTGTCTAGCTTTGAGGACTCCTTCGGAGTCCAGGTACCCTCCATTCACGTCGTCCCAGTATTGGTACCAGTTGCCAGCAGGCATGCTGGGCTCCTCGGGTACTGGTCCTGCCGCATACGCATCTACGGCGCTTAGGCTTCCATCTTCAACCATTTGTTCTTTCAAGCCTTTAAGTACAGCATTTACCAGCTTTGGCGGGTAAACCGCAGCACCTCGGGCGATTCCACCTATAAGGCGGACATGCCTATGCCACAGTCCTCCCTGCTTGTTGCTGCACTCTCCCTGAAGGATTTCGGCCAACACTGGACTGTTTGTCATCCAGCCGGTTTCCTTTCTCACATATCCTTCGTTTCCTGCCACGTCGTTGGCCTTCATCTCCCATTTACACATGGGGCCTTTTACCACGTAAACTCTTTCATCCTCTGCGAGGGCTTTGACTTCCTCGTCGTACCATGAGTCCGCGCTCCACGGATGCTCGTGTAGGAAGTACCTTCCCTTTTCCATCTGCTTTCGGTACATCTTAATGCTCAAGTGCAGATGTTGCTCTCCCTGCTCTCTTCTTTTCTTTCTCACCTCTGGTGACACCCGCTTCTGGTTGAGTGCTTGAAGCCTCGAGAAGGCTTCGCACGGCGGGCCTCCGGTCAACAGCCGGGGTTCTTCTGCATCAATCAGCTCTTCTAGTTCTTTCCTGTCTTCTTCTCTAGACAGGTCCCAATGCTCTTCACTGTTGGGCTTGGTCTCACACAAGTCTACCGCATATCCAGGCAAAAGGCCCAGTCGCGGCGCGTGTTCCGTAAACCGTTTTGGGCTGTAGATTTCCATCACATCCACGGCTCCCATGGCTGTGCACAAGGATGCGATATCCATCACCTCCTGTTCGGTGACGTCTACTTGCTCTGCCCTATACTTGTTCCGAACCATGCCTTGCACTAACAGTGCAGTTTCTCGTTTGAGAGAACTCAGCGCTTGCATGCTTTGCGGCGGCTGTTCTTCAGCCTGCTGCTGTACCACTGGCTGCGACACCAGTTCTTCTACATCTCCTGAGCTTGTTGCTCTAGGGTCTAAGCTTTCAGGCGGCTCCTCGGCCGTTCTTTTGATTCCACTTGCCGCGCTCGGTTCACTTTGCGCGGGCGGTGGTTCGTCAAGGTCGTAGTAGGCTCTTCGAGCCCTTTCATCTGCTGACATCGGCTTCGCCGTCTCTTTTTCTAACTCTGTTGGTCTACTCTCAGCTCCTCGCTTCTGCGGCGTCTGCTTTCCTACCGGCAGAGTCCCGGGTGACCCCGGGCTACTCGTGCCCCTCTTTTTCTTTCTCCCTCCTGCCTCAGGCACGCCTGAAGCCTCCGGTTCACCTACCGCATCAGCTACTCGGAGCTCTTCTTCCCTCTCTGGGGGCTCTGGCCTTCGTCTCTGGCGCAACTCGTGTGCCTCAATTCTGGCCTTTCCCCTCTCGTCTTGAGCTAGAAGCTCCATCATTCTGGCTCTGCAGGCCTCTGTGTGGTTGACCTGCGTCGACTCTCCCAGGAGTACGCATGTACACCCGGGGCAGCCTGGGGTTGGTCCCAGGCGCTCTACATCCGCTTTCAGAATGTACAGTCTCCTTTGGACTGGCGGCGCCAACACTGGTGCCGGGCCCTGCACTGGAAGCGGGCCTTCTCCGTTGAGCCTGTGGCTCCTACCAGCTCTGTGGGCTACATCCCAAGGATAGCCTCTGAGGCTTGTCCATCCCTGAGCGTCCCATCTCTGCTCAGGCGGTAAACGTCTCACTCCTTGCGCCCTCTTCACACCATTGGGTGTGATGACCAGCAACGCTCCGGTCCCGCCATGGTGTCCTATGTACCTGCCCTCCAACATCTTCATGTGGAGATCATTCTTGTTGGATTCCGCGGCGACCGCTTCACGGTAGAAAAGCCTTTCACCCAGCTCTAAGGCTGGCCGTCTCCAGGCCTTCCCTGACCGGCGCTGCTCGGGCGTCCTGCCGTCTTCTCCCTTCCTATACCTCGTGAGCAAGTCTGCTCCGTGTCTCGGCAGCCATGCAAGGACTGGGTCCTCGTCACTTAGCGTGATCCCGAGCTTCTCCTCCAGAGAGCTCTTCATGACCCGTACTTGCCTTTTCACTTCTCTCACAGCTACCTCTGCCAGGCCGTTGGCCTGGTGGTCTCCCTCGGGAGTCTCTTGGGATATTGCTTCAATCCCCTTCAGGCCATCTATGGCCTTCGCCTTCATAGCCTTTATGGCTGGTTCTCCATCACTTTTCGCAATGAACTTCTTGTAACCAAGGTGCTTGACAAAGCCCTGCCAAAACTTGATGGCGTAGGGGTCTGTTCCCTTGGCTTCCACAAAAGTCGCAGCTATTGCTTGCGTCTTCGAATCTTTGATGACCAGGATTGGTTTCACCTTGCCATCGTCTTGTCCCATAAAACAGTAGTCACACGCCACCGTTGGAAGTCCGTCGTTCTGACGCTCACGTTGCTCCCGGCTGCGGTGCTGCTGGCCAATGCCTCTCGCAGCCACGCAGTGGCGACACCACTCTCTGTATTGGACATGTCCAAGCACCTCGTGCTCAGCTATCTCTGCGGCGGTCGGTTCTATCGGAGACCGAACCTGCTTAGGAGCCGCCACCTCTACTTCGCCTTCTTCTTCCCCTTCCGGGCTTTGCGCCGGAGCTTCTGGTCCGGCCACCTCACCGGCGCACAAAGGGTGCCCGGCTTCTGGCGTCCCAGTGGGACTTACGCTTTCAGCTGCCCGCTGAAACCCGACGTTGCGGCCTTGGCCGCCTCGACTGCGTTTGCTTCCAAGTAGAAGTTGTAGACACCTCCCTCCTGGTAGAGGGGTATCGTACCCTTCTTTTCCTCGGCGCTCGCATGTTTTACCAGCTTTTCTATCTTTCGGCCTAACGGGCTTGCGCGGGGTATGAGGTGCCCTTCATCCTCTTGGATCACACCCACATAGCCTTGTTTCGCACACTTGTAGGCTGACACCAGCGGTTTGTGCACCGGGGCCAGGGACCCAGTGATCCCCTTCATCCGGCCATTCTCGTCTCTGCCGGAGATTTTGCATGCACCTTTGCTGGTGATCAGTTCCCCACTTGCGGTCTTGAAGGTCAGCTCTGGGCCTTCAGCAGGCGAACCCTTACTCTCCCAGTCCTGAGGGATTGCTGTCCGGGCCGCCCCTGTGTCGTAGTTAAACTTCATCCACCGCCCGCCTTGGGAGGCGGTTTCTACAGCGCAAAGTTCAACTGCACCCAGCTCATCTTCCTGAGCTGGTTCTTCTGCCTCTCCCTCTTCTAGGGATCCAGCGTGCTTTCCTTTGCCTTTGCCTTTGCCCTTGTCCTTGGGCTTGCCCTTGTTCTTTGAGTCCGTGTTTCCCAACTTGAGCTTTGACAAACAGTCGGCGGCTTTATGGCCAGGCTTGCCACAGTTGTGACAGCTGCCTTGGAACTTCTGTACAGAGCCATTCTTGGCTTGAGCCTTTCCGTTTGAGCCATCTTTGCCACCCTTACCTTTACCTTTACCTTTAGGGTCTTTACCTTTCCCCTTCCCCTTCATGAGGGAGCTTATGGCTTGGGTTAAGGCATCAACCTCCATTGGCGCTGGTCCTTGGGACGATGACGCTGGGATTTTCCCCGGTTGTTCTACCGTCCCTTTCGTCTTAACCTCAACCAACTGCTGTATCTCCCCCTTCATATCTTCGTAGGTGTTTAACCTAGCCTTGTTGAGGATAAGATGCTGCTCTAAGTCTGTAGGAACTAGCAACTCTAGGGCTGTACTCTTCAAGTCGTCACTCAACTTTTCTCTCACGCCTGCATCATTCTTTCGGGCTTCGTATCTTCTTATCAGGTCGTCTAGTTGGTCTATAGCTTGTCTAACATGCTCCCAACCCTTGACTCTCACTGGTGACAGAATGGCCCTCAAGAGGTTCCTCTTGCGGCCTGCCGACAGCGGGTCGAACCGCCGGTGCAGGCGTCTCCAGGCCTCAAAACCACCACCAGAGTTCACCACTATGCCCTCGGATTCTCCCGTGCACAGGTGCTGGAGTAGCCGCCATACTTGGTCACCCTTTTCCGGGATGTCTTCTACGGTGTCTGCGGCTGCTGTTACTGTGCCACCGGGGCTAGCGGGGGCTGGGCTGTTACCAAACTGCAGGTCTACATCTGTGTCTTTGACTTCGTCTTCTTGCTCTTGTGCCCACTCAAGTACCTCTTCAAACTTTCTTCCAAACACAGACGCCAACATATTGACGACCGACCGACTCCATCTACGGAACTCATCTTCCACATTGTTGAACCGCTCGGGTCTACCTAGGGCTTTGGTATCGAACAGAATTCTTGTGGAGTCAGGTCCCTTTTCCCTAACCCTCATCGTTTGGGCTAGCTCTGCTACAGACTGAGCTAGGGCTGCTACTCCTGCTTGCCCCTGTTCTGCCTGTTGTTGCTGTGCCCTTAGCGCCGTTATCTCTGCCTGCATTGCTGCGATTGTCTGCTGTAGCTGTTGCACCTGTGTTGCGTCCATCTTGTGTTTTCTACGTCAACGACAGAAAAGAACCCTATTTGGTCTAGGCTAAACTCAAACCCTGCCGCCTACCCTTCCCCTTTTTCTCTCTCGGGCAGCGGCGTTCAAAAATGCGTTTCTCTTCTCGAAGAAGGGCCGATCACTCGGCCTCTCCCTCGCACTCCTCGGAGCCTTCCTCCTCAGAGCTGCTCCTCAACTGTCCTGAGGGCCTTCTATACACAAAGTTGGGTTTGGCCTTAGCCTCGACCCTGGTTGTGAATGCTACGGCTGCTCTTCTCGCACGCAACTCCCGCTCGTCGCAGCTGCTGCAGGCTCCGCCTGCCGTGCCGCTCGCGGCTCGGCCTGCAAGCGCCCTTTGCAAGGACAACCCAACAGATCCCGCGGTTACCTTGGTGATCCAGCCAAACGCCAACCTTCGAATCTGGTAGTTCGTTGTTGGGGTCAAGGGTGCTCCTCCCTTCCGGGTCTCAGGCTTACCGGCGTCTATTCCAGCCCAGTACTGCCTCAACGCCAGGTGCTGGAGTCGCGTGTCCAAGGACGCCTTGTGTGTCCACCCTTCTCGCACCCGCCGGTCCTCCTCTGCAGCGGTCCAAACACCCAAGCCTCGGCCTTTTCCCTTTTGCTTACCTTTCGACTTGGGCTCTGCTTTGGGCGCTGCCTCAAGCGCGGCGATGGTAGGTACTGCCGCCTCTGGTTGCACTGCAGGCTCAGGAACAATTACCAACCCACGGTTGCGGCGGCGATAGATAGCTGTACCTGCCGCTCTGGCCTTTGCCTTCGCGCGAGCCTCCGCCGCACCTGCTGCCAAGATAGCTGCTACCCTAGCCTCTCTTCTCACAGGCACCGATGGTGCGGATGGCACCGACTCTTCCCCTTCACGGGGAGCCGAGCTGCAGCTCGACCTAGACCGGCTTCTTGACCTCGCTTTCGGCTCGGCCCTGTCCCTTGGCACCACCGACAGCAAGGAGCTATCACTTGAAGGTTCCTCCTCAGGCGTAAGGACAATGCTTGGCGTCTTCGGCTGCTCCAACCCCTGATCCTTGAACGCTTCTTCCGGTGTTCCCGGAGAGGTCCCCTCTATAGTTCTACCCTCCGGGGGTGTTTGAGGGGGTTTCACGTAGTTCACGTCGAAGGCTTCAGGCGGTGTGCCTGGCACGCACTGCCGCTTCCACGGCGGCGGACCCTCAGGTTCAGCTGGTGTCTGGTCCAGCCTACGCGAACCTGGTAGCCCTTTGTCAGCAGCCCACACTTTGCGGCCCTTGCGCCGTTCCAGCGCCTCAGCGCTCCTGACGCCCTTCTTCCGGGGCTTTGTACTCCTGCCCTTTCCTCCTTTCCCAGTGACTTTCCTTGTGTGCCCCTTTTCGCTATGGCTCCACGCTACCATGAAAATCTCTTTTCTACGCTCAACTGGGAATCTTGAGAGTTAGATGCATCGGCATATATACACTGTACACTATACAACTGCATGACCTAGATTAGGCGGTACAATTTTGCACCTATTCCCTAAACCCTAAACCCTCCCTGAACATACCTGCAGTCGTGGGGGGCCAGAGGATGCAGCAGCCACTTGGCTTGGTCCAGCCGCTTGCCGCCAGCCTGTGTTTGGTCAAGTTGCTTGCTGGTGAGGGCATGAGGTTCCCCATATCCCCTACGTACATACATATATACAAAGGAATTATGTAGGGCACCTAATTCCCCCCTTCCTTACTCTGAACCAGGGGTCAAGTTAAGGATTGGGGTGCAAGAAGTCTAAGTGAGGAAGGGTGATGGTCGTTGCTAGGGCTGCTGGGCGAATTGCTTGTGTGCGGTGCTTGCTGTGGCTTGTAAGACAACTGTGATGATAGCATCTACTTTCAAGGTTCAGATGTGGCAACAACGATTCGTTCCACTTGGGCCCAACTTCGCAATGGCCTTCATAATATTTGCCTTTTGGATATTACTACTCTTTTTCTTCACTGAACTTGGAACCCTAGCAAAAATCACAGTTTTAGTTGTTTCTTAGGAATGATTGTATCCAAAAAAAAGTTCTCGGTCAAGTATCCCTAAGTTTTTGGTGGGTCTCACTGCTCTTGTGCTTGCACTGCTTCTCCCGGCAAACTTGAAACGAACTGAACCTGAGAAGTGCGGTGGGCTGCTAGAAGCACGCGACCCTGTCAAAGCCCGCAATCACTCAATGAAGTTGCTCCACACATGACGCACACAAAAAAGCTGTGCTGGCAAAGCTTATCATATCGGTCGCTGGTATCAGGAGTCTTATAAAAACTCCAATTGGATGTGAGAAGAAAATGAGAACAAAGAAGGAGATGAAGCAGGAATTGAGTCAGAATAAAGCGCGAGTGAAAGAGAAATGAAATGAGCAAGGGACAGAACATAGAAGCGAAAGTGAGAGGAAAGTGTCAAAGGGCGTCGCATGTCTCACTTTTTGTCTCACTTCATTCTCCCTTGTTTCTACTGTTTGTCGCTTTTCCTCACCCTGATTCTCACATGTTTCCCACTTGCTTCTCAAACGAATGCAGGTTAGGGTTTCAAGACTTTCCCACAGTTACTCAGGGGCAGGCATATCTTAATGGTAAGCCAATCGGGGAACCGAATCGAATAGACCGAAAACAACGACTAAACTATACTGAACTTGGCACCCTAGCAAACAAGCAATTTTAGCTGTTCCTCGTAACCCTGAGAAACTACTACTAAACCCTAAACCCCTAAGAAACTACTAAGCCCCCCCCCCCCCCCCCCCCCAAAAAAAAAAAAAAAAAAAAAAAAACGTGCTCGGAAGCAGCCTGGTCTCCAGATCGGCCAGGTCCTGCTTTTTTGCTGCCAGTCCAGCCACGCACTACGGGGGTGCAGCTGAGGGGGGCAAGTGTAGGGCTTGGGGTTTAGGGTTTGGGTTTGGGGTCTAGGGTTTAGGGGCAACAGTTGAAGCATGCGTGCGCAGGTTAGGTTTAGAGGTCCGGGGCACGTTCGGGAAGTAGTGAGTCAAGACGACCGAAGCCACGGCTCAAACTGAAGGCTTGATTGTCGGGTTCCACAGACAGTGGTCACGGCCGCAGGCTCTTTTTCATTTCAACAGATGTGACTGTACCGGGTCTGTTCTGATCAAAAGAGTGTGTCTGTGCAGTTCTCCTGGCATTGGGGCCAGGATACAAGGAAAAAGACCACGCACCCTCCACATCTGAGCCGGTCGGTACAAAGAGAACCTAGACCCAAGAGGAACCTCGGAATGACAAGGGTGCCCTTTTTGGTTGAAAGGCGTTTAGAAGGGAACCTAACCCTAAACCCTAAACCCTAAACCCAAACCCCAAACCCTCAAGCAAGGGGGAGTAAGGGCCTAGGCTGCTACGTGGCCTCGTACCCACCCCCGCAGCAAGGCTGGCAAGCCCCGTCTGCGAGAAAAACTGCAGGAACCAATATTTGGTTTAGGTTTAGGGTTTAGGGTTTAGGGTTTAGGGTTTAGGGTTTAGGGTTTAGGGTTTAGGCTTACCATATATCGGGGATATATAAAGACAAGAGTACATGTCGAAAGTAGCTGGACTGGGCTTGAACTTGACAAGCTGCAAGGTGAAAGGATTCCCATTGCGACGAGCTGCCTCATCCAGCTCGAGCGCAAGGGGCTAGCACCCGGCTTGTTCTTGAGGTCCAGAAATTAGGGTTTGGAGTTTAGGGTTTAGGGTTTAGGGCTGTATTGAAGTCGCATTTAAGCAGCCCTGCTAGACTGTAGCTGTGACAAGCCTCAAGAACAAGCACGGCCGTGCAATTCGTGATGCTGCATTGCTTTCGTACATACCATCGATGAGCACCGATCAGACTGACAATTTGCGACGAGCAAAAGGACAAAGGCTACCCCAGATGTGGGATGCTTGCTCAAATCGGTACTCCATGCGAATCTTTTGGGGTGTGATGCGTAGTGTTGCTGCTGAACTGTCCTGGCTTTCTCCGTAAGGAGAAACAGCCCTGCACCGCAACTGCAGCACCCAAATTCCCAACGAGGCAAGCTCTCAGACGCTCTGCACGGGAGGTTTGCGCAAGCAAGCCCGGTGGCAAAGGTCTTCACATGTTGCGTCGCGCTGTCAGGGAACCAGGCGCCTGCAGGGGCCGACGGCAGACACGTAGTTTTGTACGCTTGGGTTTGCAAGCAAGAATCTCGCAGGGAATGTGGGGGACACTTGGGAGTACGAGTTTGGAAGGCTTGCAAGGGCCCCTATGAACCTATGAAATGCAACCTCCTTGAAAACCCAAACAGCAACGGGTGACGGACCGACGAAACAGGTAACAGCAAAAGCCCGAATGCACACATGAGGTAGGGTTTAACATGGTTTAATTCACTGCATCCTCAAAAGGGCACCCAAAAAAACACTCACCAACATCTGCAAGAAACCCTATGTACGCACCAATAACAGCTAACATGCCATATGCCACCTTGTATGTTAGGGCGGCGGACTGAGGATGCGAAAAGAGCTCCAACTCCCCACCCGCCGGACCGAGGGTTTAGGGTTTTAGGATTTAGGGTTTTAGGGTTTTAGGGTTTAGGGTTTAGAAGGTTCACGAACCCTCCCAAACACCCCTGAGACCGAAATTCTGTCAGGCCGTGCCGGGGCACTCTTTCGTGCAGCTGCGGCAGGACTGGGTGCTTAGCCTCAGCCGCCCGCACGGCGGGGCGGAGGCGGAAGATCCTGAAGGGCAGTCTAATCTCAAGCCCCCTATTATGTAGGGTTGCTTCGTAGGGAATGGGGGAATGGGGTACCCTATATAATTTCTTAAATGGTATATGCAGTATATGCCCAACCGTGCCTGAAAAACTCTGATAAGTATCCTTTGAGCGCAAAAACCCCATTCAAAGCCCCCCCCCCCCCCAACCGTAAACCCTAAACCCTAAACCCTTACTAAACCCGAAACCCTACCTGGTACTCCGAACGACGTCTATCTTTTGGTCGTTTCGAGAACGCCCGTAAAATTTGTAGACGCCCGTACTTTTACAAAACGCCCGCAATTTGGCATTGCCTGCCACAGCGCCGCTGGACGCCCATAAATATGCGTAGAAAAACCGTAGAAAACCCGTAAAAACCCGTAGAAATGGGGCAGCACGACCACATTTTTTTGAGTTGTTTTACCCCCCGCCCATAATTTTCCCAAACGGGCGTAAAACCACTTCTTCAACCATAATGACGCGTAACAACGCGTCACGCCCATAACTTAGCCGTAATTGGAGTTCCAGGTAGACCCTAAACCCTAAACCCCCCCACCCCCGTCCCCAAAGAGCTCCATCCTTGATGGTTTTCATCTTCGGCCCCTTCCGATCCGGCTTGTCGTTGCCACCGCCGCCTCCATAGCCTGGCAGACTCTTTGCTTGGACTGGGGGTTTAGGGTTTAGGGTTTAGGGCAACTATAGCCACTTGGAGATTCATGGTACTTAAAAACCCCCTAATCATAACTGCACTTATCACCCAATCATAGCCACATCAGGGCACTTAAGGGGCTTATAAGTGGGTTATAAGTACAGTCATACTTGGGCGATAAGTACTATGAACCTCCAAGTACAGGAGCTTTTTAGGTATAGGGGGACTACAAGGAGGGGCCCCCCTACTATACTAACTGTAGTTAAGGGACTTATAACCCAATGTAGGATCCAGATAACCCAAATTAGGGCTCTTATAACTCTACTTATAACTCGGGGGGCCCCTCCTTGTATGACATATATCTGTAGGTATATGTGTCCCTTAAGACTCCCTGGAGAGAAGGTCCAAAGCCTCTCGCACTAAGGGAGTAGAGTTACATAGAGTAACCAAATAAGGTCAGTCGTATCCAAAAAAAGGCTAAACGGTTCAACTTTGGTGTATAAGGGGGTCGTATAGTACCCAAGTAGAAGCTAAGCTTTCGTTTGTTGACTGATTCTGGTAGCCAGAGAGGCTACCTACCCAGCACCTGTGCCGGAGGGGGGGGGCTTTCACAGGAGGTGGGACAGGTGGGACCGAGCGAAATCCGGGGCAGCAGATGCCTATGATACCCTCTTCCCGCCCCACGAGACGTCCACTGAATTCTAATCAGGAGTTCGGTTGGGGCAAAGGACCAGTATCATCTGGCGACCAAGTTGGATATGGGGCTCAGGCTTTGGAGGCATTGCCTCCACCCGACGATGACGAGCTGCCCCACATCCAGTCGAACCAGCCCTTGTCCTGCTGCGCAAAAAAAACGTCAGGCCAAGTCATGCCACTGAAGGCAGGGGTGGGGTTCACCACAACACATGCCTGCATTGCGTTGCATTACATTACATTGCACACACACACACTCTCTCTCTCTCTGCAGACATTCTGATGTGACGATCTGCATGCGATTTGACCATGCACAACCTAGCAAAGCGATTGAGCAACTTTCAACCCCTAAAAGAAAGAACAAGCCTCGCGACCCGGAGCTAAACGCCCCCTAAACCATGGCTCGAAACAGGGAACAAGAAAAAGCTGAGACGACCTCGGAGCCGCCCGGCGCGATTGCCGCAGGCCGCTTGTAGGCCTCTCTGGCGCTGGGCTTCCATCGTTCCACACCCCAAACCAAGACCCAAGAACAATTTTCTGGGCTTTGCGTCGTCGAGCCTAGTTTTTTGTTGTGGGAGTCTCTGCGGCCCAAAGCATCGAGTTTTCTGTAGGAATGAGGCCAGCTAGTGGAGATGTTGGCTGCAATCAAGTGCATGCGGGAGTTGGGCGTTTCGAAATGGATAACTGGGTATAGTCTGATGAGGACTGTGCCATCGTTCCAACCTCCTGGTAAGGCCCGGCTTACTTTGTTGCGTCATACTCTGGCCCAGCCCTTCTGAGTTTTGAGAAACAGAACCCGCAAAGCATCCAACAGGCCCCAGCCGACAGGATTGTTGTTTGCGGGCAAGATTCAGATGTTCAAGCCCATGGAGGGAAGGATCCAGATGCAGATGCGGAACAAGGGTGTTTGGCCAAGGCTCGAAGAACATGTGGGGGGGACTTCCGAGAGTCGGGGGTACCCTTTATGGGGGGTCCCTTCTAGGGGTTTCTTTTCGATTTGGGGTCAGGGCAACGCGGCTGCGCTAGGCCAAAGGACAAGGGAGCCCCAAACAGTCTTCCTAGCGCAGTTCTGAATCCCATTTCCGCAGCTTGAACAACCTCAACACGGGCTGCCAGATTTCGGATCGTCCTCTCTCCTGTACCGTAGCCTAAACCCTTTTTTGAACCCAGACTGGACGTAGTCAAATCTCTAAATGATAAACCCTGGTCCATTTCAGGGAGCATCATTAACATAGGGGTACCATCGGCATGAACAATATGTTTGTCAGGACACAACTACTCTAAGGCCTCGGACTCATGACCCTTATATAAGCCCTATAAGCCCGAAAGCATAGACAATTTTACGAACCCTCAGACTTACTAGGATGGCTCCTGAAAACCCTCTGACAACATTCCTCAATATAATCCTGGCAAGCTCAATAAGCGAAAATATGAAATATCCCAAAGGGCCTACATAGCTTAAACTGGCTTAAACCCATATACTTCTAAGTTCCAAAACCCTTAAGTAAGCCGCCCTCATACCAAAGGCCTCGGACGACTTGGCGTTGGGATCGGCCTGGAAATCCTTGCCAGTTTCGGAGGCACGGCTTTACCCTATCCTTCCAGGGACCTAACTATGCAGGCCCTAGGGTGCTTCTTGGGATTGCAGGGTTTCGGGCTCGGTCTCAGGCGTTTAGCCTCTTCTGACAATAGCCAGGCTCAAAGCTCGTGCAGCCCAAATCAACCAGCCAGGCCTTGAACTTTTGCTTCTGCATGGCGCGGATGTCTGCCAGGCTCA